GATAGACCCAAATCAGATCTTGCTCCTGATCCGAATTCGATCTATTGACACGCCTACTAATGCAATTTAATATTAAAGGGTAATGTAATAATTTGCTAAGTTATCACATCTATACAATTTTAACTTAGTTTACACAGAATCCATTCATAGAGGTTAAGAAGCACTCTTCATAGACGGTGTGGACGAGATTTTCCAACAGTCAAACGATGGGTGCTTAATTCTAATACAATAGGGGTCTACAAGTGTAAGTCAGCTGAACACCGTAATTTATGAGTGTGGGTAGGTGAATTAATGGATACTAGTGCTACCCCCAATTTAGAAAGGACTGTTAACGGATCATCATAATCACCCTTATGGCCATCTTAAAATCACACAAGTTAAATTAGTCAAAAACTTCTTTAATTCATATTCGATATACTTGTCGTCATTTTCAATCAGACATCACATCACATAAGAATCGTATTTTATATTTATCATATTTAGTCGAGATTGTATGGTCATTGATTGAATTCATATTAACTCATTTATTAAACAATTTTGACACACCTACTCGTTCACCATTCAAATTCGTTAGAGTTGATTTCAAATTCCTTTGTACTAGTTGTGCATATCATGTCTTCAATTTGCCAAAAAGACCAACAGTTAGCTATTACATGGTCCATGCCTCCGATCGTCCACCAATAGCTATGGCAATGGCTTCACAGAATCACCAGCTTTTACCTTGTACCCATGATGGACATGGGCCAATTACTAGCCACTGGTTGATTCGGTGGATAAAAATTTGAATTTTCTTGTTTAATGTTTGGGCTCGAGTTTTCATAGTTACAGCTGTTCGTTAGGGCTAAACTTATTCTTCAGTGCTTAGAGTACACAGTGAGACCTTAGCTTCAGCCTCAACGTAGGTTCAATAGAGTTTCTTGCAAATAGTTCTGTAATGTTGAGAGACAATGCTCTTTGTTGAATATGTGAAATGACCAATTAGCATATTCATTTTATGTATCAAAAAAATAAAAAGACATGGGCTTGGCCAAATTATTGGCACGACATGTCAAAACGCTGCCTACTTCAAATTAACCTTTGATTGTGCTGTTCAAGGTTTGGTAAAATATGTACCCAAAAAAAAAAGGTTGTGGTAATACATCAGTTCAGATAGTATAAGGACACATCGGTCGCAACATAGTATCAAATGATGTGCACATAATTCTTGACAGAAGAAGAAATTGAAAATGCTAAAAGATTGACAAAACAATCCCGACTTCTTAAATGGGCCGACTTGGCTGGAACGTATAAATGGAAAAATCTTAGAGCAAAATATTTTTGAATCAATTGCAACATGATTGATATTTTGAATCATGACATAAAAACATGGACTTTTTCCCATCGCCAATTGAATTAAAGAAACAATATTTTGTTGAAACATGGTTCTCTTCTTTTATAGCTCCTTCAATTATCTTATTTTTTTGTTAAGAAGTACATTTCAAATTAAAAGGATTGTAATATGCTTAATTATCTATTTACTAAATTAACTTGATTGAATTAGGAAACAAAATCAATCTATTACCTAAGTTGCTATGTCAACGGAGTTTTCATTCAAACCTCCTTCAAACACAAAATGCTCATGCAAGATTCAAAAGAAAAGTTTTGAAATTGATGCAATCATTCCATAAAAAAGTGCAACTGAAATTCTTTCCATGAAAAAGACAACTATTTAGATTTTAAGAGCAACTATTTTCTTATATTAAATGTTATGATTTTTTTTAAGTTCTTACTTATTAACCCCAAAATCCCTAAAAAAATTCAAAAAACTCATGAATTTGGGTTCGTAAAATAAAGAGCAACATAATTAAGGAATAGTGTGACATTAAAAAATGACATCAAATAGTGAATTTACACTTTTTTTCTTCCTGAAGTGAATTCACACATTAAAGAGTGACATAATTTAAAAATAGTGTGACATACAAAAAAAATAGTGTTACATCAAAAAGTGATATAATTTAAAAAATAATGTGACATCAAAGAGTGACACAATTTTAAAAAGGGAAAATTATAAAAGGGGTACACCATTTCATACTTATTTGTTAAAAGCACCTTAACATAAAACATTTGTGTATAAATATATTTGTGTGTAAATATTTGATGAGGAGATACACTTTTGTTAATTTTTAAAATTTTCTTTTGTGGAATTGCCCTTTTCATTTATTAATCAGAGACAAATCTGACAGGTATATTAGGGATTCTGTTTCCTAAATTTATGAAATAGCATTTTTGAATTTTAAATTATACATTCCCCTTTCATTCAACTGAAGTTATTCAAACATTCATATCTTCCCCACATTTGTATAATTTGTTTTTTTTTTTTATAAATCATAATGAGGAATAAATATTTTCACCTTATATAATATCATTGATTGTTATAAGTGGTTTTTTTCTATGTATATTTTAAATTTAAATTTATATGTATGTTATTTGATATGTTTATACGCAGCAATGATACATTTCGCATTGACATATTAGTACATGTCACATTGACACAGTGGTATATGACAATATCACACTGATACCAGCTTATGTTACACTGATACTAGCCAAACGATTTCTAAATGATGATTTTTAGAAAATGGTGGTTTTGGGGAAGTTTTGTCATCTCTGTTTGAAATTCACACAATCCAGCGATATTGGTGGAACTATGCATAACAATTATCTTTTCATTTTCTTCCGGAGGTGTCCTCACTTGTTTATAAAACTGTTCAATTTCTACAAAAAGATGTATTTTAGACTTTGGGTATGACATGTGTAGTTTTTTATTGATCTTTTCAATTGTGGTATTTTTTGCTTAATATTTTGAATAAATGGTACTGGTCCCCTTAATTCTCTTTTTTTATTTATTAATATTGTCTTTCTAGAAGGTAGAATTCTTCAGATATTACTCCATCTAAATTAGTAGCTTAAAATTTAAAGATTTGATTCACCGTATGAGTGACAGAGTGAATGACAAAAGTCTATGGAAAAAGAAGAATACTTTTGTTCTTATTTGGAAAATATCCATCCCAATAAATGAACGTCGACTAGTCTTATTCAATGTGTTTGGATGACCGGCTTTATAGATTATAATTTGAATAATAAATATTTTCCATTCAAAACAATGTCATTTTATTAGCTTGGATTAATGATTTGTTGTTTTTTCTTTGTTAAAACGACACTTTGAATGAATGTCCATCCCAACCAATGAGTGTCAGACAAGTCTTATTTGACTGGTGAAATGTCCATCCCAACCAATAAGTGTCAACAAGTCTTATTTGACTGACTTTACAGAATATGAAACGAAGAATATAATCATTTTCCATCCAAATCAATGCCATTTATTCAGCTGTATTAGCTTGGATTTATGATTTGTTCATCTTGTGACCCATGGACTTGCCTAATTGACTTACATTAGTACAATTATTTTTGAATATATTACCCATGTACCCCTAATGCTTAGGCATGACAATGGACTGTATTTCAGTTCGAATTTGATTCGAATCCATCTAATCAGATATAAACCATTCGAATTCGTTTAGAAATTTTAAACCATATGTGAATATGAATATATACAAGTTCAATTCGATTTATAATATATACATATATGTATATTGATTGTATTTGATCTTAAAAAAAAAGGTTTATTTGTTGAAATTTTGGTAGAATACTATTACGGATCGGATCAAGTAATTGAATTGAATATTCAATTATAAGCGGATTCGAATATTGACTAATATTTTTATATTCGTAGAGTAAACTGATTGAATTCAATAATAGATTTTTTAATTGGATTCGGATGGACCCAGATCTAATACTAATTCAATCTGTTTACACGCCTATTAATACAATTCAATATTAAGGGTAATGTAATAGTTTGATAAGTTATCATATCTATACAAATTTTAAACCTACTTCACACATAATCCACTCATAGAGGTTAAGAATCACTGTTCATAGACAGTGTGGATAAAATGTTAATAGCATTTTTCAACGGTCAAATAATGGGGGGCCTAATTCCACTACAATAGATGTCTATCAATGAAAGTGAGATTTTCAACAGTCAAATAATTGGCGCAATGCCTCCAGTGATTGACGAGTGACTGGGTGGGTTAAGTGATTACTTTTTTTATATTTTCAAACATATGATAACTGGAATGCACTTCAATTATAAATTATATCCAACATAACATGTGTTAAATTTATGATACAAAAAATAATTTATCGGTATTATACCTTCTATTTTTAACTAATAAAACATAACAAGTATAAATTTTTTTTTCAGCTAGGTAGAGGAATGTCAAAAATGGTTCAAGGTTGTTGTGTCATACATTGGTTCAGATGATATAAAGACATATCGATCGCAACATAATATCAGACGATATGTATAAAATTCTTGATAGAAGAAGAAATTGAACATGCTGAGAGATTGACAAAACAGTATCATGAATTCACAGATGGGGACTTGGCCGGAGCGTAAAAACGGAAAAATCTTAGAATAAAATTTTTTTGAATCAATTGCGATTGATGTTTTGAACCATGATACAAAAACAGGACTCTTTCCCATCGCTAATTGAATTAAAGAACCAATATTCCGTTGAAACATGGTTCTCGGTTTGACTACTGCAGAAGTTAATATCCTCCGCAAAAATTTAGATCAGATAACAAGGAAAGATTTTTCTGCATAAATCAAACTTTGACCCCTCAATTATGGTCTTGTCTGTTACAGTTCCTTCAATTATCTTATTTTTTGCAATGGTACCTTAAATTATAGTTATTAATTTCGTACTATCCAAAGATTAACGCCCACCAAATTTTTTATAGAAACTTGTCTTGGTTTGACCATCGAATTAGGTGAACCTTTTCCACCCAAGAGGTAAAGTGCGATTGTTTTTAGAACAACGTGAAACCAATTCAAGCCTAGAAGAGAAAATATGAGAAATCCAATAGTTCAATGAACAAAGTGAAATTAATACCAAAGTTGATGGGGACAAAAGGTATTGTTTGTGATTCCTATGTGCGGCTGTGGTATTTAATACCAGCTATTGTCTAGGGCTGGGAGCACCACCATAACCAAGGAGAATTGGCTTGTATTTGGAAGTAAGAAATACAAGGCCGCTCCCACAATCCAGGTTCTCCAGGTTCTCAGACTTTGATGGCTTCTCACACTCAACAGCTTCACCTTGTATTGCTTCCTTTAATGGCTCCTGGCCACATGATTCCCATGGTAGACATTGCCAGACTGTTGGCACAGCGCGGCGTTCTCGTCACCATAGTCACAACACCCCTCAATGCTAACCGATTCAAAACAATCATCGCTCGTGCCACGGAAGCTGGACTCCAAATTCGAGAAATCCAACTCCAATTTCCATGTGTAGAAGCAGGGTTACCAGAAGGGTGTGAGAATTTTGATATGCTCCCTTCAATAGTCGCTACAGGTAAATTTTTAGACGCAAGTGGGATGCTACAAGGGCCAGTAGAAAAATTGTTAGAAGAGTTAAAACCCCAAGCAAGCTGCTTAATTTCTGATAGGTGTCTCCCATGGGTGACTAATGTAGCGCACAAGTTTCATATCCCAAAACTTGTTTTCCCTGGATTTGGTTGCTTCTCTCTCTCTTGCATGCACCACTTGCAGGTCTCCAGAGTATTTGATGATATTAAATCCGAATCAGATCACTTTTTGGTGCCTGGCCTGCCTGACCCAATTGAACTTACTATAGCAGCGGTTACGGGCTGTGTCAAGACAAACCCATCTGGTCCAAGAGATGTGCGGGATGACATCAGAGAGGCTGAAGAAGCATCATATGGGTTTGTGGTTAACACTTTCCAGGAGTTAGAGACAGAGTATATCAAAGAATATGCCAAGGCAACAGGTAAAAAAGTGTGGAGTATTGGTCCAGTTTCACTCTGCAACAAAGATAATATGGATATGGCCGCAAGAGGTAACAAGTCTGCTATCAATGAAAACCATTGCTTGAATTGGCTCGACTCATTCGAGCCAAGGTCTGTACTCTATGCTTGTCTTGGAAGCTTATCGCGCCTAGCAACTTTGCAGATGATAGAGCTCGGGTTGGGTCTAGAGGCATCAAGCAAACCCTTCATATGGGTTCTCAGGCATAAATCAAATGATTTTGAGAAGTGGATTGTGAAAGAAAAATACGAGGAAAGGATCAAAGGGAGAGGACTTTTGATCCATGGTTGGGCACCACAGGTACTGATATTGTCTCACCCTGCAATTGGGGGGTTTTTAACTCATTGTGGGTGGAACTCTACGCTAGAAGGGGTGTCTGCTGGTGTGCCAATGATAACGTGGCCAGTGTTTTCGGAACAGTTTATGAATGAAAAATTGATTGTTCAAGTACTGGGGATTGGAGTGAGGGTTGGTGTAGAGGTTCAAGTTAATTTTGGGCAGGAAGAAGAGATTGGAGTGTTGGTTGAGAAGAATGTAGTTAAGATGTGCGTTGATGAGTTGATGGGTGAAGAAGAGGAAGCTGAAGAGAGAAGGAAACGAGCTAGAGAGCTGGGAAGAAGGGCAAAGATGGCAGTAGAAGAAGGAGGCTCTTCTCACACTAACATGACACTTTTAATCCAAGATATCCTGGAACAATTAAACCATGGAGATTCTATCACAGAGAATGGTACCAAGTAAATTAGCAGAGTCTGAGGTTAACACAAAATAAGAATGAGTTTACAATTTAATTAGACGAAGTTACTACAAAGTGGAATCGTAGCTTGATCATGTGGAGTTGTAATTGATCTTTTGAATTGTAACTTGATCTGGAATAAGTTATAATTGATCATTCTTTCCTTGTAAGCTAATATCCGGAACAGGGTGAAGTTCCATTAAATAGGTAGAACTGAAACTTTAAATACTTTCTACTAGTGTTAACACAGAATTGAAAAAAAAAAAAAAGAATTTTACTCATCTCAGACTCATGTTCCATTGACTCAGGGTTTCAGATCAAAGCTCTAGAACTTAAATGTCATCTGTTGAGTCCGGGTTTTTTTTTTCTTTTTTTACCAGAAACTCATAGCAACAACGTAAATTTCAGATTCTCACACAATCACCTAGAAACATGGGCGGAGCCATGTATGGTTCAGGGCGGGCACGTGCCCCCCTCAAATTTTTTTATTATTACCTAGACATATATATTGTATATTTGTATAATATCTCACTTTATGACCACCTAAAACTAAAGTAAAAAATGCTAGGCCCACCTCCTCCACTCCCAAAAAAATTAAAAAATCAAGTCCACATAAAACAAAAAAACTTTGGGCTCATATTATTAAAATTTGAGTATTGTACAAAAAATTAAAACTTAATCACGTTAAGTTGCGACTCAAATAGATCGAGTTGTGACTCAATGGAATTAAGGTAGGATTGATCTCCAAAACTTGGGATGAAATCCAAATTGTTGAAATTTGGTATCAATCCAATTTTTTAATTGATTTAGTTGTCAGTTAATCATGGTATATCATATTTTCTCAATTTTTTATGGGTATGGTATGAAATTTTAGATTTTTTTGTAATATTTGTAGTCATATAGATAATGCTGAGCAGTGAGACAAATTTTTTATTTTATTAAGGTATTTTTCAGACGACCTTAATTTTATTATTTATGAATTTTTACAAGTGAAAGTTTCTGTAAATTGACATTCACTTAACTTTTTTTTTTTTACGAGAAATCGTCTCTACTTTTATTTAAGTATTGATTATAGTCTTTGCTATGTGTCAATCGATATTTTTTATTATGTTTAGCTCTTAAATTTTAGTTTAATAATTTTACTATGTTAATATCTTAGTGTGTTTAGAACATCACTTATTGAATAAATTTAATTGATTATTAGTGAATAACTGATATTTTTTAATTACAAAAATAACAATTAACTCCATTTTTTACGATGGTAATAATTAGCCATTTTTTTGTACATATACAATATGCATTATTTTTTGACATTTTTTTATGTTAAATGGAATTCATGTATCAAATGTGATATAATAAATATAAACATATTATATAGCATGATTGATTAGAAAGAAAAAAATTATAGTGCGCAATTAAAGTGCCCATTCTAAACAAAATTTCTGGCTCCGCCCCCGCTTAGAAACTCATGTGATACATAAACCCTTTGAACAATGTTTGATGGGTGGCTTAGAAACTCATGTGATACATAAACCCTTTGAACAATGTTTGATGGGTGGCAACACATTTGTGTTGCACAACTATGGCAGAAATTTTACATAGTCCCAACAAGTTTTGGATTCCAAGACAGTTAACAGAATATGCAAACGTCTGATACTCGATAGTTGATAGGCATAAACAAAATAATTATCCTCTCTTTCAAAGAACATTGTGCTTTCAATATCGATACATAGTTGAAATTTTTTTAATTGTGATTCGGATCTTTCTAACATGATTGATTCTATGAGTGCATTAGGATATTAAGAATATGCTAAGAACTACATGTGTGCTTCTCTGTTCTTTTCTCGGGCACTGGCCGGCGTGCATATTAAATTGGATCGAAATTCTCCCCTATACACTTTTCACAATCCTCCTCAATGGTAGATCACGCGTTGTGGAGTAGTGATGGATCCATTTTTGTACAAGGAGTTCTAGTAAAATTCATAATGAAAGAATGTCCACTGGAGTGATTCAAATATTATTAGTCTCAGTTCCAATTCACTTTAGAAGCTTCCGTTCCATGCCTCGATGCCACTAATTCCATGTAAACGGGATCGCAACCTCTGAAATCCACTGAAAAATAAATAAATAAAAATTTACCTCCTAATATGTTTGCATGCTACTTCAGAAAATGTCTATTCTGCCTACAAACCACTTGACCCTTGCATAATGGTTCACATGATTCTGTAAGTTCTAAGAACAGCTTGTCAGGTAGTGGAAGCACCCTTTGGAGAATTGGCTCTATAAGGCCACCCTGCAAATCAGGTTCTCCAGTAGCTCCTTATACTCCCCCAATTTCCATGGCTTCTCAATCCCAAAAGAGAAGAGAAATTGAAAAAGAGGAAGAAGGATGAGATGAACAAGGTTTTTTTTGTATTCGTGAACACAGCTGGATATATAATAACCTTTTTTTATTTCTGGGTTACAATACATACTGAGGACCACGTCCTCTATTTAAATACAAAAAAAACTGAGATGAGTCCATATAACGGGTAGCATAAAATCCGAAAGACAACTCAGCGAGGATACTCCTACTCCAAGACATGCTCTGTTTTGAAGCCGAGATTTGCTCAATCAATTTGTTGGAATTTCCTTAACTAGTCGAACTACCATTTTCGGGTTGAAGTTGTTGCCATTGATACTCCTTCATCCTTCAACGTAACTTCACTATTGTAGCATGAATTGTGGGAGTTTCTATCACAGTCCCACAATTCACGCCGAGATGTTGAGTTGTGCCAATACCCTCCCTCAAACTGTGCCGGGGTTGGAGGCAGAGTTTGGTTCGGAAGTTAGTGCAGCCTTTGATATTGGTTTGGTGAAGAGGTCTGCTACTTGCTCTGTAGTGGAGATATGTTGAGTGATCCACTTTGTTTTGTATCCTTTCATGGCCCAAGGCCACATGATTCCTATGGTAGACATTGCCAGATTGTTGGCACAGCGTGGCATTCTCTTCGCCATAATCACAACACCCCTGAACGCCGAAAGATTCAAAGCAACCTTCACTCGTGCAACAGAAGCTAAGCTCCAGATTGAAGTAATTCAACTTCAATTTCCAGGTGTAGAAGCAGGGTTAAAAGAAGGGTGCGAGAATGTTGATATGCATCCTAAAATTGATCATGCAGCTTATTTTTTTGCCGCAACTGCCATGCTACAACGACCAGTGGAAAATTTATTTAAAGAGTTAAAACCACCACCAAGCTGCTTAATTTCTGATATGTGTCTCCCATGGACAACTAGTATTGCTCACGAATTTCATATCCCAAAACTTGTTTTCCACGGATTTGGTTGCTTCTCTCTCTTGTGCTTACACAACTTGCGTGTCTCAAAGTTGGTTGATGATATTCACTCTGAATCAGAACACTTTGAGGCGCCTGGCAGCCTGATCGAATTGAACTGACTAAAGCACAGATTTCGGGCATTCTCAAGCCACACTCATCTAGCATGGTTGAGGTTGCTAGAGTGATTGAGGTTGGTGGTGGTCACTTCCACAGTCATTGGTCCTTGCCGTTGCATGACTGGTAGCTCACACTCAAAAATCGTTGGATGAGTGTCGAGGGTGATCATCTGGTCGACATTGTAGAATGGTGCTGGTCTCTAATGGCTTATTATTTTCATATAAATTTAAAAAACACTTGGTAGTGAAATCTATATAAAAAAATTCAAATTAAAGTGTAACGAATACTCATAAGAAAGTATATTTGGACAAAATTTTAAACTAATTTCAAATAAAGCGTTACAAGTAAGACTTTATTATTCTCTAGTGAAACTATTTATTTTTAATCGAAAAAATGAATTCTACGCCGGACAATATTTTATAACACTCTTTATATAATGTAATTTCATTGGTCAGCTTTCAAATCACATCCATTCATGTGGGACTCCTCCATTGTCCATATACATCAACCCATAAAAAGTGAAGATAAATACTAGATTAAGATGACATCGTATAAATAATATTTTTTTAAAATTAAGTTATAATATTTTTTTGTGTAGTAATTATACTTTTTTAAGGTTAAATTATAATTACATTGTACAAAAAATTATACTAACTTTTGATACAATACCAAATTTCTTTTTCCGGTACATTAGTGTTATCCATGAAGAGATTTTATCTTACATAATGCAAGTTTTTTTTTTTCGAGTCAGACACTGTTATAGAGGAAGGGACAAAAAGATTTGGACTTGGGACTTTAAAAGTTAACAATAGTGACGATGGTCATTAAACCAATTGCTAAACTCATAAAACAAGTTTAATGTCCAATCTTCACATTACATCAATTTATGTGGGCTCCAATATCTTCTTACGATTCTATGGTTGCCCATATACATCAAGCCCATAAGATAACCAATTTGTGTAGATCAGTGGAAGGATTAGAGAACATTATCCACCAAGTAAGATTTAATTTATTATTATTGATTTTATTGTGAGTTCCAATAATAATTACAACTCGTCACAAATCGATGATAGAGTAATGTTGTGTTCAACAAAATTGAAAATTAAGTGTTGAAACCTGAATGCTAAGTTTTAAAAATTTTAATATGTAAATTGTTTGGTATCCACTGAAATTTAAGTGTTAGGTTGAGTCAATCTATTTGTCAAATGTAAGGAGCTAAAGTCTAAAAACTGTTATTATTCTAATTTTATCATTTTTTTTACCGTCTCTCCATAACTACTTTAATTCTACTACCACTATCATTATTATTTCACAATCACCACCGCTACCTTACACATATCACTGCTACCACAACCACCACCCTACCATCACCTCCTCCACCATCCCATCATCACCTTTTACACCATCGTACAATCGGTACCCTCACCCTTGATGCTGTTGTTCCCTCCTCTAAAATCATGCTCCCATCACCCGCTGGCACTTACTATGCTACAACTGTTGCCACCATCAATCCACCATTAGCATCCAACCATTACTAACACACCCTCTCCCCCCAAACTACTTATTACCATTGCCTTCATCACTTAACCACAACTAAACCGCGAAAGTCACCGAATGGGTCAGTCTTTTCCTTCAGTTTGTCCCAAATTTTAAATAGAAAAAGGCGTGGGAGTACGTTGCAGATGTCCGGGACAGACACGACTTCTTCTAAGGCTAGAAAACCACTGGAAGACCAGTCTCTCTGTCTCCTTTTTCAATTGGGAGAGATGCTCTAAGTCATAACGGGGGTGGACAGATTCTTTAAGCTGGAGCGAAGATTTTTCTCCCGAAACGCCCTTTGTATAGGGTTCCAAACCTGCGACCCTTTTGGCTTCCTCAGGGCCTTGTGAAGCTTAGCTTGCAGCCACGTAATGTAATGATTGTTGTTCGTGGTAGGTGTAGGAGCTGGGCGAAGCGGTAGCGAAGCTCACGCGGTAATGCAAGTGCGCGGTGAGCGTAGTAGCCCGAGGAAGCATGTCTCTACTTCTTTTCCCAAGATCAGATCTCGAACCTATACTCTATGGAATCCCAGGCCCCGAGTTTCCTTGCATGTGGCTCGTCCGTGCTTTCCGCTTTTTGTTAGCAGCTCTTGATCTTGAAGGTGTGCTGGCTGATGAATCTCTTTTCGGGTTCTCTCTATCTGCCTTTCCTGGGTCCTGAAGTTCATTCTAGTTACCTTTACAATCTACCACCATTGCCACTAACATGGTAGTTAGGGTAAGTTAGTATTGGTCAGACTTATGGTAATGGTGGTAAGGGAAAAAGATGTGGTAGAATGGTGGGAATAAGTAGTGGTGGTAAGGGTAGTGGGGTGGTTGTGGTTGAATGTTGACAATGGTGAGGAGTAATAATGGAGATGACAGTAACAATAATTGGTATTTGGTTGTTTGGTAATGGTAGCAGGGGCGGTGAAGTGTTTATGTAGGCATGCTGAAAGCAATAGTGGAAATGTGTAGGTGGTGAGGTAGGGTGATGAAGTAATGGTGGTTATGGTGGTGTGGTTGTGGTGGGTGGTGCCAGATATAGTGGCATGATGGTGCGTTTCGAGGGGAAGGGGGGAACAAGGTAATTGGTGGTTATGATAGCAGCGACGGTGCTGTGATGGTGGTAGTGGCGACGATGACGACGATGGCAATGGTGGCACTGCAAGTAGTGAAGACAATGAGGTCGTAATGACATACATGGTGGGGGTGGTATAAAGGTGAGTGATGGTAATAGGGTGACAATGGTGGTGGTGGCAGCAGTAGGGGTGGTTATGGTGGGTGTTGGCGGTGATAGATGGGTGGTGGTGGTAAGGTGGCAATGGTAGTGGTGGTGGCAATGGAGGTGACAGGATGGTGTGTTTTGAAAAGTTAAGAGTGTAAAATAGATTGAGATCAAATTATGTAAGCATAAACTTATTCATTATGATATATCTATAAAATTCTTACTGATTAGCATTTTCAGCATTAAGTGATAAGCATGTGGTGGTGTTTGCTAAAACTGAAAACTGAATGTTGAATTTTTAGTGTTAAATGCTAAATTTTTTAATTCACAAACTGTTTGGTATCAATTGAAATTTAAGTATTGAATTGAATTAAAGTATTTAACAAATATAAGAAGCTGAAGTCTGAAAACTATTATTATTTTAATTTTGTTCTTTTTTTTAACCATCTCCCCATAACTATATTATTCCTACAACCACCATTGTGATGGTGGTGGTGGCATAATGGTGATGGTGGTGACGACACAATGGTGGTGATTTGCAGCAGTGATTGTGGTCGTGGCCGCAATGGTGGCGGTGGCTGTGGCATAATGATAATAGTGGTGGCGGCGACATAATAGTTGTGGTAGTGGTAGTAGTGATGGCAGTAGTGGTTGGGGTGGTGGCGGTGGCACAATGGAAGTGGTGTTGTTGGCGGTGGCGGCGCCACAATGCTAATGGTGGTGGGGGTGATACAATAGTGGTAGTAGTGGTGACAATTAGTGTTGGTGGTGGTGACGATGACACAATAGTTGTGGTGGTGGATATTGAAAAGTTAAGGGTGTAAAATGTATTGAGGGCTTAATTGTCCATTATGAGAAATTAATTAAAATCCTTACTAACTAATATTTTCTGCATTAAGTGATAGTAAGTGACTTGCTACTTAAAATTTTAACCTATTTTTAAGAAGTACTTAAAATATTAAGTGGTATAAGTTTTAGATTATCAAACGGGTTTAATTCATTAAATGTTTAAAGTATTCAATTTTAAATCTTAAGTGGTGTTTTCAAATAGACCCTCACTACTTAAAATTCTAGCCTATTTTAAATAGATGCCTAAAATTTTAAGTGATGCAAATTTTGGTTATCAAACATGCATAATTAACACCGGTTCACGAATGAACCATCCCCGGGGAACCTTTGGGTCTTGCACCCTAGGGTCTCATCGCCCTTCTTGCTTTTCAGGGGAGATGTGTAAGGCACAACTTGTGATACCACACAGGCTGTCACCGAAAAGTACTACCATCACCAATCCCCCCTAGGACTAGTAGTCGTCTTGGTAATCCCCCTCAAGAGCCCCAATCGTCTACTAACCCTTTGCCTGTTGGTATCGAGCATACAAGTTTCAAACCATAATTTCATGATCATCTTTAATTCCCAACACCAACCACAACTTCGACACTTTTTTAAGAAAATACATAGTTTTACAAAATCTTACATTTCTATTTCCAACAAAACACATTTTCAAAATAACTCACATACACACCAAAAATTCAACCATTTTATAGCAAATTTCACAAATTAAATGATTGAGAAGTTATATAGATCAATACCACCCTTTTCATACTTTAAAATAACTCAACAACACCCCAAATCATGGTAAAATATACTCAATCATATCATAAAAATTAATACCTCTTTCCACAATTTATCATTTCAATACTTATAGTCAGTTTGACATTTTATCAAACACATGATAGATATAAAATCTCTAAATACACATTTACAAAGGAACATACTCATTCTTAAGAGACAAATCAAATACATTATATACAAAATCACATATATTCTAAAGAATCCAAAATCTTAAGTTCAATCAAACACTCATAACAAAAATCAAGTTAATGTTTTAAACTCACAATACCGAAATTCATTAAATGCCTGTAGGTTTACAAATTCATAGTAAATTCATCATTTAATTAAGACTCAAAGCATGTATTTAGCTCATACTAAACAAATAGATATAAAACATACATGAAATGCATCAATGTATATGCAAGAGAAAAGAAAACCCTACCTCAAAACCCAAGAACCCAAGCTCCATCTTCAAATGTTCAAATGAATTCAAGAATTCCAAATAATGTTCCTAAGTTTTCAAGCAAAAGCCCAAGCTCTAATGACCTTCTTCTCTCTTCCTCCCTTTTTGTCTCTCTAATTCTAAGGTTTATGGAGTAGTATTGGGTGAGAGGTGTGAGAAAAATGAGAGAAATGGAGGTGAAAATGGGATTATAAGGGCTAACTTTTTTCGCCGTTCTCGGATTCAATAGCGATATTATTTCGACCTATAAACTTTTAGAATGATTATTTAACTACCCTTATAAAGCTTACATGCCTCCAACTCTATATTTGACCCAAAAGTCATTACACCGGTACCTTAGCGACTGTTCCTTTAACAACGATTGACAGTTTTTATCATCATTTTAATTATTTAAAACAAATACTATCAAGTTAATATTATTTATAAGAAATATGAAATATGGGATCTCATAGATTATGATAATTAAGCCATAAAACGTCATTTAAAGTGACGTATCTAAACACATCATTACAAAATGACATTTTTAACTTGCTATTTTACTAATGTTGGTAACGATGTTAGATGGGTGGGAAACTTGATAAAAAAATCATTTGGAATGATGCCTTTAAAGACATCATTCCAAATGACGATTTAAACGTTAAATCAGACCACTTGAAATTTCACAAATCATAGGCTAGGTCAAAAATTTTCAAACATTTCAACCACTCAGCTCTCCTCCTCCTCAAACGACCAACTATGAGCTCTCCTCCTCCTCTACCACTCTCAGCCAGCCTTTTCTCCGACGAGCTTCAACCATTCAAAGACTGTTGTCTCCAACGAGGAAGACCATCTGAGCCTTGTGAAATCTAAGCTTAATCCACAGCTCCACCAACGAGCATAACCTCCACCAGCGAATTCAACAAAGAGACTGAATACAGCCTCCAGCATTGAGCACAACGCTCACCAGCGATTGAGTAGTGATCACTATTAATTGATAGTGAGTTCATTCTCCATTCCAGGCTAAATCGATTTTGCCCATGCTTAGTCGATTTTGCCCTAAATCGATTCTGCATGCTCGATCGATTTTTTCCTAAATCGATTCTCCAAGCTCATTCAATTTTACTAGTGAGTCCATTCTCCATTCTCAGTCGATTTTGCTCAAAATCAATTTTTTCCCTAAATCAATCTAGAACACCAATTCTCCATACTGTCTATGCTGCCAATTTTATCTATTATAATTTTGTTTATTGTCAACATGCCATTGATGTTAACTTGGGGAATGGAAGTAAGTGTAAAGTTTAGATTGGGTTGTTTCCATTTAGGTCAATTATGAATCTATTTTTGTGTTGTTTTTGTTTTTTCAATTTTGGGTGGATATTTTGCAATTTAGGTGTATTCTTTGCAATTTAGGAATTAAATTTCAGTTTTAATGCCAGTTTGGATGTTTTTTTAATTAGGAATTTCTTTTTACTTAATTACAATGAATATATGCTAGGTGTTGCTCGTGCCAATAATACTATGCATGTAAGGTGTTTGATAAAATGAGAATTAGAATTTTCATGATTTGTTTTTATAGGGTCAAGTTATGAATTTGCATTATTTATGTTGGGTATTGTTGTAATTGTGTACTATTTGCGAACGAAGCTATAAGAGTGGCATGTTTGGATTAGGCTCTAAAGATTTTGATTATTGTAATCCCCTCTTTCTTCTTTAATTTATTTCCACTACAGTTAAACACTTTTGATGGATTGAATTGATTTATATACCCATTATAGATTCATTGAGTTAGAATTGCTTTAATTTTTTTCTTCCTTTTATTGAACATGTGAATTTGTAGAGCTGACATATGTTTGTTTTGTTTTTGTTCCTCATAACATGGAATTTGCTTATATTAACCCTAAAAAATTTGGCGCTTCAAAAAATAATATTTGTTGGTCAATTTTCATTATTTATAAAAATAAATAGTCTGCTCATTCAAATTGATAAAGAACTTTCTCAATTCTCGTTCACTTGTAAACTTTAAAATTTTGATATGCTTTCCCTTCTTTTTCCCCAAAATTAGTCATGATGTTTAAGAATGATTGAGTGTAGTCTACTTTGCATAGTGTTGGAGTCCTAATACTCAAGATATTAATTGACAGGAACATATCGAAGATAAATTGGAGGGACACCAAAGTTTCTATTGGAATTGGCGAGTTAAAATTTTCAAGTTTTCATAATACTCCTAGGAGGTTTAGATCTTCATTACCCTTTGTATACAAATTTATTAGTAGTCTTTATAGATTACTTTCTTGATGTAAGTGCCAACCATTTCTATGTACTTAATGTGCTCCT